TTTCTCAATCTTCCCAGTATGATGTCACATTCACAAAAGCAGAAGCCATCTGTCTGTCACACCATTCAAAATTGGGAAAAATGAGGGAAACCCAAACCAGTCCCCTCCTTGGTCGGGGCCAGGCCCCGGTTAGAGCACCTGCCAGTTCAAGGCCACCAGGCTGAGCTAACCCCAAGCACCGCCCACAACAGTCCCTCTGTTCCAAATGCAGAAGTGCCATCAACTTATCTTTTCAAATTGAGGGGATGTAAGACTACGTCGTAAAGTGCCCTGACTCATAGGATGCACTGTCTAAGTTTGGTGAACCGTGCTCTTTTTATGATATTCTGTCATCAGCACACTGCTAGGATTGTGGTAGGGACAGAGGAGGAGGGGGGAATAAGAAATCAACGTAGAACCCAAAGCTTCGGATTAGTTGTTTTAATGACATAGTTGGGCACTTCTTATTATAAAAAGTATTTTTAATATAGCAAAATGGGTGAGGACGAGAGGAGAACAGAAGGTGCCTGGGTGGGCAGTGGGAGAGGGCTGGAGACACAGCCCTGCAATGTCGTCTTACATCTACAGTGATGAACCAGCTACAAGACGGTGTGAGTAAAAGCAGTCTGCCGAATATATTTTACTTGAAAATAACAGGTAATCTTATTTGCCTAACAAATAAGATTTGTTCCGTGATTTTCTGATTTTAGAAAGCATTGTTCAATGTCTAACTCCAGGTATTACTTTCCCCCTCGTGGTCAATAAAAGCCAACCCTCCCACCAAATATAATGATATATGTATATATATATTATTATTACTGTATACTGGGTTTGGACTTAGAACCAATAGTTGCTAGCCAGGAGTCCTACCCTACTTTGCTTTTTGTCTATTTTTCAGATAAATTCTTGCATGTTTTTCTGGCCCGCTTCAGCCATGATTCTATCTAGCCTCCTGCCTAACGTGACTACAGACATGTACCCCATTTTTGAGAGAGGTCTTGTTAAATCTTATGTGAGTGGCCATGAACGCATACCTAATTTCTACCTGAGATTAAGAAGAAGCGTGCACCCATCAAACTAACCAAGTTTTATTATGTAATTTATAATGCATTATAAAACAGAACAGATGTTACTTTGCCAGTGGATCTTGTCCTGTGCCTATGTCTAAAATCAATTGTAAGAAATTGTGTTAATTTTTAAATATTTTTTGTTAATTTATTTCGATTTAAACATATGGCTATTGTGATGGTTCTTCCAGCATTTGAATTTAATTTGTTCCTCTCAGGTTTTTAGCTTTGATACTCCATTTTTGCCTGTGATAAATTGTCACTTTGAATGAAAGATTTAGCAAAAGCATTGTGCTGTGACATTTCTGAGTGACACTTTTTTAACTTCACCTTCGGGCAAACCGTGCTCACTATCCTCATCTCGTTGCCATATCTGTCCAGCAATCTGAACCCTTAACTTCCATTAATTTATTTTTGAGAGGTCGCTGTGTGCCAGGCTTGCCTTGAACTCTTGGACTCAGCCTCCTGAGTAGCTGGTACTACAGTTGTGTAGCACTGTGCTCAGCTTTGTATTCATCTCACTGAATTCCTAGTAGCATTTGGCTCTGTGGAACTCTCTCGCTGTCCTGAAATTCTTGTCTTGGTTTCAGAGTTTCTTAGGTGTTTCCATTTTAGTTATTTTGGCCAAACTTCCTTCCTTGAGCTCCAAATGGTGGGGTACCCTGGGCTTACTTTATTAACACTCAGTGATCTTGGCCAGCAGGAGTAAACACTATTTTTATACTGGAAGTTCCTTCTATCTTTCTCAACTCCTTTTAAAATAAAGAAGGCTTATAAAATCAAACACACCCAAAACAAAACCCTCGATTGTCAGTCCTAACCCCGCTCTTCTTGGTCTTTGTGACCCACTTTCTTAGACCACAAAGCCCTTGGGTTATCGTTGAGTTCTCCTCCACAGCACACATTCAATTTATTATCCAACCTTGTTGCACCCCATTCAAAGTACTCTTAAAGGTCCACTGTCCATCAATTCCACTGCTGTCACTCTGTAAGAAAGACCTCATGGCCAACTGGTTTGGAACAACTGCCTCTTTACCCTTTTCCCTGAGGTCTCCCCTAGAGCAGGTTTTCATCCTTCAGTCTGAAAGGGTTTTTTTGGTGGTCCTGGGGTTGTTTTTTAGGTAGGGCCTTGCACTTTTGCTTGGGACTGGTCTTGGACTATGACCCTCCTACCTCTGCCTCCTGAGTAGCTAGGACCACGGTGCCACTATCACACCTGGCTTATATTTTGAGATAAGGTCTTGCTAACTTTTTTTTGCCCAGGCTGTCCATAGACCATGATTTTCCTATTTGTACTGCTAAAGACACAATGATTGATAAAATAACATCAAATTTTAAAGTATCACATTGTTGAAAGTAAATGTACTCTTAGGGTATTAGTTTCAGTGTTCCAGTAAGTTCCAATAAACGTTATTATATTAAGGTGGTGGAAGAAGGAAGAGAATCCAGACTCCATTGGGAATGTATTAGGAAGACAGTTTTCTTGCACTGCTCAAGTTTCCTGTTGGTAAACAGTACTTTCTAAAAGACACTGCGGGAAGGGGAAGTTGAGGGAGACTATTGTGCATCTGGCATTGAATGGTGCGGAAACTGTTGATTCTCAATCTGAAGTGAAACACTTTAAAAAACCACATGGCTTGGTGTCCTCCTTTGGCTGGATCCAGGCCTTTTCGTGGTTACCCTGGTCCTTGGCCCATGGTCCCTTGCACACGCCTGTCACTCATAGTCTGTCTCCCTCAGTCAGAAGGAGAGAGAGCCTTCTCAACCATTACAAATGAGCTCTCTACTCCTCTGCTCGTTTTATGTCTATAGTCTTTGTCATCAAGTGAATAATCACTATTAATTATTTTTAGCTTTCTGATGTTTGCCTTTAATATAGGCCATTAGGAGGGACTTATTTTGCTCAATTTTTTTAATACTGGTATTCAGGCCTTCATAAATATTTTGAATTACTGAATGTTTAATTTAGGAGGAAAATTATGTACAATTTTAAACCTTACATGACTACAATAAGATTATCAGAGAGACAGTAATACACAGAGTCATGGTGGCTATGTGGATGGCACACTATTAGGGCAGGACAAAAATTGAGAAACTGGCTGCAGGAAGGATTACCACTTTGGGATGTAGGATGTGGGGTCCTCACTCTTCTTTGTACCAGAATATACTTGTGGCTTTCTAAATTAGTCACGACAGAGACCTGTCCCCAGGTGCTCTGATTCCCAGATCTCGGGGGGATGCACACTTAGGTAGTTTTAAGTCGGGTTCCTTAGAAGGAGAGCATGAGATAGGGATTGGGGTCTGTGGTACTTATTTGTGGGGGTGCTTGCAGGAAAGCTATACAAAAGGGAGGGAAGCCAGTTGGGGCCGAAGAGGGAACTGAGCAAGAATGTGGTGCCAGATGCTCTAGCCTTGGCCTGAAATACACAACGAGGATGCTGGAGGGTAAAGCACAGCAGAAAATTGTTTCTTCTTGAGTCAAGAGGCTGCTGTCATTCAGTCATTGGCCTTCAGCTGTCTGTGGGAGGTCATCTAGGCAAGGCAGCTCCCCTCAGTAGAAGGCAATTCCCCAGAGGGGAAGTGGAGACAACCCTTGCAGCGGCTGGGGCACCCTGCACTGGCTCAGTAAAGGGGACTTAGCCGGGCCCCAATGAGTTCTATGGTCACAGAAGTAGGGGCCTGTAGTGAGGCATAGACTCAATAAATCTTGTGGCCTGTCATGGACACGCCTACTATTTGGTTAGTACAGAATAAACACAGTCCCATAGGATGCATTGTGAGAAAGAGATATTAATCTCTTAAACGCATAGTTATAACAAGATATCACTGAGTTGTCACTCCAAATAATCAAAGCACGATTATGAAAAGCAGTCCGTGATGTTTCACAGGCGGGTGGTGGGTTCTCACAAATGGTTCTTGCTGTAACTCCTAGATTCTATGCATTCGTTTTCACAGTAAGCACTGTCTAACTCTAGCTGTATGTTAGTCAAATACTTACCAGGTACATGAAGATTCAAACAGAATTAAAATGTTCTCAACCTGGGAACCATGCTCGTGTTTGTCCTATATGTGTCATGGTTCCAAAAACCGGCAGGTTTTCTCCCAGCAGGATTTGAAGCAGAGGAAAAGTGAGGATTCAAAAGTGTAAATGCAACTAGAGGACTAGGGTGACAGCTCAAGTGGCAGAGCCCTTGACTAATAAATGTGAGGCCCCGAGTTCTCGCCCCTCTCCCCAGAAGAAAGAAAGTGCTAACCTCAACTAAGGTCCTGGGTCAGCTGCCCGTTCTTTGTAGTCATCTGCAAATGATTCCGATTCCTATTCCTGCCTGTCGACCATGACAGGAGAATTTGCCCTGTGAGCAGCAGTGATGTTTTCATGGACTAGTCAAGTTCACAGACCTCCCACAGCCCTCTATTCCTTGTGGAGGCTAAAACTTAACTAAGTGATGCAATTGATGCAAAATGTTCACCATTATAAAGCTGGCATTAGTGTGCTTAAAAATAGCAAAATTTAAAGAACAAGAAGCCATTTGAAGAAGTAGGTACAGACCGCTAAAGTCCGAGCCACGCCTGAGAATTCAACATTAGAAGTCAGTCCTTTTGAGAGACTATGAGAGGAAAATTTGGTTTTATACATTACATTATCAGAAAGAATCTTTTATGATCACCAATAATTTGGATACCAGTAAACGTCCACCTGTAGTTCCTAATTTTATATAAATTATATTTTCATGTCTTTTAAATCTTTGCATAGTGTCTTGGAAACTACTATACTGAAACGAAAGCCAGCTAATAAGCAGCACAGTGCTTGTCGCTAACAGTGTCTCATACTTTCTTTAACACAGGCAAAATTTCAAAGGAATGTAACTGTCGAAGTGTCACCAAGCCATCTCTTTAGGAGGATGTAGTGCCAGCGAAATAACAAGGCTGATTTTTCAGGAATTCTGTTCATACCTCAAATCCCTGTGGTCTTCCCAGGCTCTCTGTCATGTGTTTCCATGTGACAAGAATCTCTGACACAGACATGCTTGTAGCTTTGACATCCGTGGGAGCAGCGCTGGGTTCTGTATGAAGGAAATGGAAGTAACAAGCCACAGCTGTAGCAGGTTATGTCCATCAATGCACTGCACTGTGTCCACCAGGCATTAACTATTTCCTGCCTACTTTTGAAATGAAGAGAGGTGGTAGTCATGAAGAACACAAGATAAAAAAATGACCTTTTCTATATTTGGATCAAGTCTCACCGATACCTTTCCAATGACAAATGACAAACCTACCAAGACAGGCAAAGAAGATCTTTATCCTTGCTGTAGCTGGGAACATATTAGAGAAGTTGAATGATCTGACTTAAAGTGTCTACCAGCATAGCATAGGACGAAGAGAGAGGACTACAGAGTCACCCTTGGCTTTTTCTGCAGTACTGGGGTTTGAACTCAGGGCTTTGCATTTGCTCGACTTTAAAATGCTTGAGCTACACCTGCAGTCCATTTTGCTCTGGTTCTTTTGGAGGTGAGGGTCTCATGAACTATTTGCTCAGGCTGGCCTCAAACCATGGTCCTCTGGATCTCAGCCTCCCATGTAGCTAGGATTATAGGTGTGAGCCACAGGTGCCTGGCTAAGAATAATACACATACCATGTTTAATGTTATTATTGGCACTTGAAATGATCGTTCCCAAATATCACATTCATATTATTATGTTTACCATGTGTAGGCATAAATAGAGCCCAATTTTATTAGCTTTTGCTCTTCCAACCACAGAGCCACATTTCACCGATTCTGTAAGAAATGTGTTGTGAATCATATTTAAAAGGCACATGTTGACTTTTAGACAGGTGTGGGCTGAACACAGAGGTCCCTGAAGGTCTCAGTGCTGGGATCAAAAATGCCTTTCATTTGTTTCTGTGCTCAGTGACCTTTCACACTTTTTTTTTTCCAAATACAGGCATCTGACTGGCATCCATCAACAGGCACATTTTATTTGGGGTTGCATGCTTTGTGAACAACAAAATATTTCTAGCTTTGACAAGACCAAATCATAAATACTGTCACAAACACATGTTAAATGAAATGGCAGAATAAAGGCCATAGATTAGGTCAAACAGTTCTGTATAAAGATTTTTATTTTTTTAAATAAAAATCGTATCTCATAAAAATTGTAGAGACTTTGATACTAACCCTGTTATTGATAAAAGTTCAGATTAATCTGCTGAAATATTTTTTCCAGATTCAGGAAGTCATAGCAAAGATAGAATTCTAAATAAGATTTTTTTGATGCCTTATGACAGATGTTGAAAGAATATAGCATTTCTGATCATTCCTTTTCTAATAGGTGTTAATGCATCATCCAGAATGCTTTTGTATATAATAATTGAAAAATACCAGTAAAAACATCTACCCTTGCTGTAAAACTAGCCCACAAAACACTTTTTCAAAGGTATACGTACCAAGCAATGATTTTCTTTTGGTAAAGCCCTCATAAAATCATCACTATAATGTCAACTCAAAGCTTGGTAAATTCACATTAATCCTTATATAGAAGTCAACGTAATTCTTGCCATGGTGGAAATTGTGGTTTCTGTCACCCTTTGAATATATTTTATATTTTGTTTTGCTCTGCGGTTAACCTCTTTCCACATTCCAGCTTCCTATCATTTGTTTACCTACCCAGTTTGAAGAAAATGCATCCTGTGAAAAGCCTCTATTCTATTTCCTTCTGGGATTATAACTAACTGACTTGCAGCAGACTTCTTTCATTGTGACTTATTTAATGAGTTAAAATTCTTGATTTTGCAAGTAAATGAAAGGAAATGCTGGTGTTTTTGAGCTGTACATAGCTTGATCTCTGGGATTTAGGAAATGATTTATTTCAGCAGGAGCCACACTTTGGATACATTTCTATTCAGTGATAGGTTTGCTTCTTTTTAAAATTGTAAGATTTGTATGCCAAATGCTTTCTTTGAGCTTTTGTATTATTGAAGCAATTACATCTTTGTCAAAGAAGATTGCAGGGGATAAAAATTTCAGAAGCCAAAACATGTGCTGGGTGGCAGCCTATATATCCCTATTTATCCCTAGAGAAAGAAATTATCTCTCTATCTGCTTCCAGGAGCATTATAGACATTTAAACAATTCTCAAACAGAAAGTAAAGTTAAAAAAAATTAAAAATGTCCAGAAACTTACTTTCTAAACAAGCCCTTAATTTCTATTTAAAACTGAGGATTTTAAGTCAGTCAGTCCCATCCTGACATTTCACAGTTGTATCCTTGGGCCTGTGCACTATTTTGAGTGAAATGAATCATACAAGGGCTACGTTAATTGTCTCACCTTCTGATCTAAATAATATCAGGCATTGACCCATGCTGACCTGGATTGGAAATTTCAGCATGGAAAATGAATGACCTCAGCCAGTTTATTCCAGAAGTTTGGGTATGTGCTATTTATAGTTAAGTCAACAAAAGCTTTGTCTGCAAAGAAAAAAATCACTATCTGAATCACAGAAAGTCATGATTAGAACTAACTGTCCTTTTTGGGAACCCATTCTAAGTGAATAATGGAAGTTATAGCTAGAAAGAGTTTTAGAAAACCGTTAGTATCCAAAGTCACAAGTGATGGCCAGTGAATCTTCTGTCATTTATTTGTTACATATTGTGTCCAAGAAAATCTCTACACACCAACTTTTAAGTTCTAATGTTTCATATACAAACAAGAGTTTCTGACTTTTTCTGGGGAAAGAAGAGAAAGAAACCAAAGCCTGGCTTCTTGAGTGTTGGCAGATGGGACTGGCTCTATCACTCATGGCATGCACTCAGGATCTGTTAGATTAAAATTTGTGAGGAGAACTATCAAGTTCACGAAGTTAGAAGGTCCATCTGTACTAAGTGATCCAGCAGCTTGAAGCTCTTCTCTCCATTTGCCTATCATCTCACGTGGAGGATGTCCCTTGTCCACAGTTCTCAAGGACCCCTGTAAGCCTTTGAGTTATGATCTCTGCTGCTTGCTCTGAAATGGCCATATTAGAACTCAGGTCTCAAATATTCCTCCCTCTGTTTCTAAACTTGGTGCCAAAGAAACAGCTGAGTGGTACTCAGTCCCTTTAGAGTCAGTTTTGAGGTCCAGGAGAGATTTCACAGGAAACGTGCTGCTCATTCTTACACTCTTCAATTTCGTCCACGTAACCAGCAGACAATCAGGGAAAATGATGAAAAACCACCAAACTGGCTAAGGGGAAGAACTCAAAGTCATAACTACCATTTTTGAGGTCTGCTGTGCTCCAACCTTCCACATGTCTAAGCCTCCGAGAACACCGTGATCTATCAAATGACACTGAGGAGCTAAGCAATCTAAGACCACAGGGTGCTAGATGTGGAGGGAGGATTTGAACCCAGGCAATGAGGCCCCAAACACCTTGCTTCCTGCGCTGGGCATATGTCTACATTATATGCACAGATGCTGTTCCCTGGAGTTTGCTCTCTTCCCCCACTTTGCCTCCTGACTCCCTACATGAGGTCTCTAGTCCCAGGTCTCCCCAGAAAACACGTAGACCCCACCACCAATCGAACGCTGCCATGGGCTCACTAATAACTCCCTGGATTCTTCACTTGTGGACCAGTGGTGATTTTTAATCACAGTGGCACCGTCCTCAGAAGCCATGTCATAGCTGAGCATTCCGCAAATCTCTTGACCTTTAAATCACACGATGTTTTCTGCCACTCCTGTCTTTTACACTCAGGTTATTTGACGAAAGTTCAGGATCTTATTTCTGAGATCATACTAGCCTTGCAGATTCAAATTCTTACAAGGACCTTTCTTTACTTAGGATGATACGAAGGAGTCATCTAACTCCTTTACTCCAGTCCTGGACAGCCTGATTGAAGATTTCAGGACCTGTTAGATTACATTTTTGAGCAGCATTACCAAGTTCCTGAATTAGCAGATCCATTTGTATTAAGTGACCTAGCAGCTGAAGTTCTGCAGTAACATGGCAGGCGAGGACAAGCCTAGCACATTGATTGTACGTGTGACTTCCCCGAGCGGAGAGCAACAGCATCAGTCAAAGGAGAGTTTAATAAACTCCTTGGAGAAGGGTTATGATTTCATATTTTAAAAACCCAGCCAAGACAGCTGCAGTTGAACTTTTATAGGCACTAATCCAAATAGATCACCTGGCAAAGACAGGAAATTATTCCTTGTATTTTATAACTAATATGCCAATTTATTAATTTCCAAGCTCACATAAATCCCACTGAGCTCAGTGTTAGCTAAGAACTGATCCTGGGAATGAGGCCTTGTGAATGCTGGGTTTTAATTTGGGCAGTGGCAGCCTCATTTGCAGGGGATAATTGCAGTCATTCCCCTCAGATGAGGAGAGGTTGGGGTTTAATAAAAATAAGAGCAGCACGCTTTATCTATAGAATGCAATCCCCTAAAGAGACAAGGGTAAGGCACATCACAAATGATTAAATCTTTCAGCCTATAATTAATACAACTGAATTACTGTTTTTCTATTAGGTGTAATTGAATGCTTTGGTTCTCATCTAAAGTTGGAATAATAAGAACCAAGTGGAATGGATATAAGTTGGACTAGAAGTATTTCTAGAAATGTAAAAGTGAGTGTGAATCAATTATTCAATTCTTTATCTTGAAAAAAGAACCCAGTTTTTACCATGATTTTTTTTTTGAGACTGTAGTCTTACTATGTGGTAAAGCTAACCTCCAACTTGCTATCCTCCTGTTTCAGTCTCCCTAGTGCTGGGATTGCAGATGTGTTCCATTGCGCTCAGCTTTACCAATTTACAATCACTTGTGTTGTCTTGGGTGCCAGTGGCTTATCTCTTTAATCCTAGCTACTCAAAAGGTAAGAGCAGTTCAAGGGCAACCCTGGCAAAAAAAGCAAGCCCTGCCTCAGAAATATTCAACACAAAAACAGGCTGGCAGAATGGAGTGGCTCAAGTGTTAGAGCATCTGCCTAGCAAATGGGGGCCCTGAGTTCAAACCTCAGGACCACCCCCCAAATTAAATCACTTATGTTGGAACTTTGCTATTTTTTTAAATGGAATTGCTTCCAAAGTGTGGCTACTGAATAGAGCTGACCACAGCTGAGATGTCTGTTGTGATTCGGGGTTAGAAACTCATCATTCTTGTTTAGTTCAAAGATGTGTGGTAGATGCAAATCCTGTCAGGCAAATTCCTGTTCTTCCAGGCCACATCAGATGCTGCTTGACACTAACAGAGCCTGTAAGGGCTACTTCTTTTGTAGAAAATTGAAAGAATTCAAGGGCTCTGGTGTTCGCAAAGGAACCATTTGGAACCTTCCTGGTACTGCTCTAAGGCAAGAGCCAACCTCAGTTATGTGTCAAGTCATATCTCAAGTAATTTAGCAAAAATAACAACAGATAAATGACAATTCATGTGTGCATGAATTGAACCCAGGGGTCATGTGCTTGCTAGGCATACACTCTACCACTCGAGCCATGTCCCCAGCCCTTTTGTTTTTATTTTGCTTTGGGAGACAGGGTTCTAACTTTGCTGGGGCTGACCTTGTACTCTAGATTCTCCTGCCTCTGCCTCCTGAGTGGCGGGATTACACTTGTGTACCACTGTGCCCAGCTTGATGGTCACTTTTAACAACCAATTGACTCAAGGCTTTCCTTTTAGCAATGTAATTCTCACTTGCATCCCAATAGGCTTTCCTGAGAAGAAAACAAAAAGACAAGGGAATGCACATTAAGACTGCAGAACGATATTATGGATGTGACTGCATCCACCACTGAATGATCCAGTGGGAAAGGAGTAGCTGTAAGGATGCTTTGCAAGTCTTTCTGTTCTGAGCCTCATGACAAATTCGGGTGGTTGCATTTAGCAGTTTTCTCCCAGCTGGTTCACCTGTGAAAAGGTTGGTGCTCATGGTCTGGCATTGTAAGCTAGCATTTGTGATGTGAAGAAGAACTAACCTGAGAATGAAATGAAAAGGCAGTCTCTAGTTCTTTTACTAAAGGACATGAGCATTTGGTGTGACCAACAGGTAGAGTGGCTTAAGGAAGACTAAGAAGCAGTATTAGGTCAGGCACCATGGCTCAAGGCTGTTATCCTAGGTACTCTGAGACTGAGATTGGGAAAATTGTGGTTTGACCCCATCTTAATCAGTCTGGACATTGTGGTACATGCCTATCACCCTGCTACACTGGGAAAGCACAATAAAGTGCTTCTGTGTGCAGACAGCCAGGAATAAAGCAACCCTTATCTCAAAAGTAAACAAAAGCAAAAAGGACCGGG